GCACGCCTGTAATCCTAGCTACTCAGGAGGCTGAGATCTGAGGATCGTGGTTCAAAGCCAATCCGGGCAGGAAAGTCCATGAGAATCATTTCCAATAAACCACAAGAAAGCTGGAAGTGGCACTGTGGCTCAAGTGGTAGAGTGCTTGCCTTGAGCTGAAGAGCTGAGGGACAGCACCTGGGCCCAGACTTCAAGCCCCATGATTGACCAAAAAAAGAAAAAAAAACAAAAGAAAAGAAAAGAAAGAAAAAATGAATAAAAGCCCAAATGAAGGCAGCCTGGGCAGGAAAGTCCATGTAACTTTTATCTTCAACTAACGACCAGATAAAAAGAGCCAGAAGTAGAGCTGTGGCTCAAGAGATATAGTGATAGCCTTGATTTAAAAAAGAAAAAGAAAAGGCTCAGGGACAATGCTCAAGTCCTGAGTTTAAGCCTCAGGACTGGTACAAAAAATTACATATAAAAACTCTGAGGTAGAGAAGTTTTCAGGAATAATATCCACCTTTTCAATAAAGCAAGGATGGAGGTTATTTGCTGAGGTACTGAGCTGTGTTTTGGTGTTAAGGAAGAGTAGAGATTGCTTGAAGTAACACTTTTGGAAAATGTGGTCAGGGAAAGAAGGAATAAGGCTGTAGACTGGTCATAAGGGGTCAAGGCCTATTCTTCCAAACAGAACTGAGCATCTATTTCCCAGCCTCACTAACAACTACCCTCTTCAGATGAGTATGCATCTTCCTCTTAACACACATCCACACCCAGCCTTTCTCTCTTGCCATCCACTCTTCACTGCACTTACCACTATTTTATTTATGCTGAACTGTTGAACCTGCTAGGATGAGAGCAACATTTAAGGAGTTTCAGAGCCTCTGTATGAGCCTGGGCTTTGTCTCTGTCCTTTTTGTTCTAGGCTAGCACTCTACCACTTGAGCTACAGCTCCACATCTGGCTTTTTTGGTATTTTAGTGGAGATAAGTATCTCACAGACTTCCTGCCTGGACTGGCTTTGAACTATGATCCTCAGATCTCAGCTTCAGTTGTGAGTCACCAGTGCAGGGTATCATCTTCACTTTTTATTTCATTCCCATAACCCAGTCTTAATTTAGCCATGCTTAGCTGGTGCTTGAAGTTCCTTAACCATGTTTTCTGACTTTTGTGCTTTTATACATTCTATCTGAAATGTCTTACCTATCCTGTCTACCCAGCAAAATCTCACTCTGAGCCCATATAGGGTCTTAAACCTCATCTTGCCAGTTGTCAAGGTAAGTTCACGTCAAAGTATGTGGTCTGATCTATTTTTATTTTTCCTTGCTCTGCTTAGAGAAATAGTTGAGGCAAGCCTATTCATTTATTTTGTTTTGCTGTTTCTTGAGTGAAAATGAGTTGCCCTGGGTTTTAAATGTGATGGTGGACTTTTCTGTCCAGTTTTGATGGTAAAGCAAAAGACAGTCATCACTCTTAAAATACAGATGGATATTCTATTCATTCCAACACCCCCCAAAGCCAAAAACAAACAAATCTCATCCAAAAAAAAACCTCACCATAAAATAACAAAATAGTAAGGATTGTTCCTTCACTGGGCTGTAAGATCACACAGTGTCCCTAGCTCCTGGGAGCTAAGCAAGTAGAATTAGGGAGCGAATGATGGCAGTGGGCTGTGTGGGGACCATCGCAACCTGGAGGGCTCTACCCCATCTGATGAACTGAGCTACTTAACATGTGTCAGGTGATTCAAATGTAACTAGCTTGTAGTAAATGCTCAATAATATTGGAATTATTATTTTAATCATAATATAATTAAATCTTGTTTTGACAGCTGGTAATGATTTAATGTTTTTCTGGCTCAAAGGTAATACTCTCATTTTCACCAAAGCCCTTAGAAACCTTAATGGAAGAAACAAAGGGAAAATAGCTCTTCTACTCTGATGGTTTATAAGGAAAATATTTTGAGGATTTTTTAAAAATTGTACTCCTCAAGATAAACTCAGTATGGTTATTTTCATGGAAATTAATGTACTATTTTTGTATCTGCAGTCTGAATGCTTTCTCTAAAGATAAAAAAGGAAATGGAAAAAGATTATTTCAAGTGCTTTTTAGTTTTTCATTTTTGGCAGTACTGGGATTTGAACTATGGGCTTTGGGCTTGCTATCTACTCTATGAGCCACACCTCCAGACCTCTGTTTCCTGTGATCTGGACAAGTCTTACTGCCACTGTAGTGAGGAACATGTACCTCATCAGGCTTTCTCTCCTTCCTCCATGTAGATCTTCACAATGTTTTTGTGGGATGTGCTAGTTACTGGTGTCAAGGATGGGCAATGAATCAGGCTCCCTTGTGTTTGGGGTGTATCTGTCATAGTCATTCTATGTCTGTGCCAGCCTGAACAATTTCTCAGAATGTTCCCTCTGGTCTTTCTTCTTAGCCAACTTCCCCCTCAAGTCATTCCAAGTCAATTGTAAAAGACTCCAGGGGCCTTGGGTCTGGATAGTGCCAGGGCTCTAACTGTAGCCAAATACAGGGTCAGCTCTGTGCTAGGCTAGTTGCTAATAAATGCTCTGTTGATGGAATAGAGATTGAGAAGCTGAATGTGCTTCAAAAAGATCCCATCAGAAACCAAACACCCTTTCTATACATGGGAGCCTGGTTGCTACTTGGGCCAGATAGGAAGTGCCATTCATGTAGCTCTGAAAACTTGAGAGAAGGGAAGTTGGTTCCGATTTTGCCTTTCTTTTTAAAGACAGTCTGATTTCTCTTCTATTTCTCAAGTGTTGGAATTACAGGAGTATACCACCATGCCCAGTTCCATTTTGTTTGTTTTGAAGAGGAGATCAAGATTTATTTCTACCCATTATTGAAACCAGCAGCTTAAGGTTTTAAGATTTCATATCAAAGAAAACACACTCACATATGTAGTAATTTCCTGTAGAAGTTTCACAATAATAGTTATAACGAAAACTTCAGTAATGATAATATTGAACTGTGTGACCCCAGTTAACAATAATGTATTATATATTTCAAAAACACAAAAAGAATAGATTTTGAATATTCTGACCATGTAAAAATAACAAATTAGTGAGGTAATGATATGTTAATTATCTGGACTGACACTTTCTAAAATATATGCAGATATCAAAATGGCATGTTGTACTCTATAAATATATTATGTGCAATTGTATTTTCCAATTAAAAATAAACATTTCATTTAGAGCTGCCTGAATTCCACTATGAATGTAAAATCATTTTCTATGTATGTAAGATATGAAATGTAAGATCATTTGTTACTGTTTTATGTTAATGTTATTTTCTAATTTTTAACAAAGAGAATGACATTGTATGGTAGCAATAGAGTCTCCTTTTCAATAAATTATTTAAAAAATTAAGAATACCTTTTTCATTAAAAGATCATAAAAGAAAAAAACTTGAACCCAAAATAAGCCTTAGTCATTTTGGAACTTTATAAACACTAGTCCTAGATTCTCAGGACCAGGAAGCTTTTTCTGTCCTAAGCTGCAGTACTGGCAGAGCATAGAGTTTTCAGTGGATCATCAGATATTTTCTCTCATATATACTCTGTTCTCTGAAATGGAGGGAGTAGAGAAGAATGCTTACCCTGGTTTCAAGTTTTAGTTGATCTGTATATCAACATATATCAACATATATGGATCAAGTAATCTGCTGTATATTGGGCACTCAGTAAAGGAATATAAGATTCTCATCCTGATCTTGGCTTCTCCCAGGTCTCTCAGGGTGTTTGGAGGTCAAAGCTCTTTTTAAAATCCTTTATTAGCACAAATTAATTTTAAAAAAGAGGTTTCATCAGGATATTTACATACATACAGATAATATATTTGATCAAGTTCACCTCATCTATATTATTATTTTGTTACCCTCTTCCCACCAATTTTTAACTGTTTTAGAAGGTTTTAGTATATTATTTTTAATGCCTTACCCTCTTCTTTTCTTCTCCTCTCAAAAGAGTTTCTCTTTTACAATCATATCCTGTTATTATTGTTTTTGTTAGCTGAAAAGCCCTCACAAGATGAAAATCATATTTGTCTTTGTGAGCTTGGCTTATCTCATGGGGTTCAAATGTTTATGCAAAGGTGACAATAAGGATAATAAGGACTGGTCTGGATAAAAGCAGGGTAAATCAGTGAGCGACACACACACACACACACACACACACACACCCTCAAGTCATTCAAGGCCCTTTTCTTTCCTCTACTTATTATGGATTTTTTCCTCTGTGTAAAGATTAAAAAGAGTTACAGGACTCAGAGGTCACTGGCAGCCTGCTCTAGGTCCATGATTGTACCTTGAGTACCCTTGACAATGGCAGCTGTAGAGCACAATGTTTCATTTTTCAGCACAGAAACTGAATCCTGGACTGTACTGAATCCTGGACTATCTACTGAGGGACCCTTGACAGCTCTGACTTTCAAGTTGCCTTGAACACTGTACTAGATTTGTGGAAGTTGGGGCTCAGGCTCCACACTCAGCTCAGCAGCCTATATTGATCCTTGGGGCTCTTTTGTCTTCCTCTCCAGTAACAAATTCTCTCTCCCTCTCCCTCTCTCGGTCTCTCTGTCTCTGTCTCTCTCTGTCTCTGTCTCTGTCTCTGTCTGTCTGTCTGTCTGTCTCTCTCTCTCTCTCTCTCCCTCCTTCCCAGGCTTCTCTGCTTCTAATGAATTGAAATCTCTGAGAGCAGCTTCGGCTCTGGTAGTTTTATAAAACTGTCTTTGCTCTTTCTGCATTTGCCCAGTCAAGGGTATCTTTGCCCGAGGTCGGAATGATGCTGTTAGTCCCGGTGATGATTGCATAGCAACACAGAGCAGCTTCAGGAGGGGAGGAGGAAGAGGAGGAGGAGGAGGAGAAGGAGGAGAAGGAGGGCAGGGAGGTGGGAGAGACGGAGGGAGAGTGTGCACACAGCAGCTGTCGGCATCCCTGTCTCAGTGACTTCTTTGCTGATTCACAGAAGCAGCTCCTGCCTCCCAGCTTCCAGCTACCGCCTGCTTCTCAGACCTGCTGGAATCAGAAGGTAGGCCACAGAGAAATTATTTTCCAGCCTCGCCCTTGTTCAGCTGACAGAAGGGAGATGACTGAAGGAGGAGAAGCTCCTGAGGTACCGTGTGAGGGTGCATGTCTGCATGCCTGTCTGCCTGTCTGCTTGCATGTGTGCCTTTGGGGGAAAACTTGCATTAAAAAAATGCTCATAATGAAGTACTCACTGCTTGGATTCATAAAGAAAAAAGGGGAAAAAAGATGCCCAGGAATAAGAATTCAAGCTAATTTGAGTAATGGATTGAAAAATAAATAAGAGCATGATTTGTTGCTTCAAGGTAAGAAATATTATTGATTTTAGGTGCTTAATGCCAGGCTTTTTTATCCAAGGGCAAATAGATTTCCTGGTTAGTGGGAAGGGAAGGTGTGTGAAAAGCATTGGCTAGGAAGGAAGGAGAGAAACACAGGACCTCCCAACAGATGTGCTAGATGAATACCTATCCAGCTACCAGACAGGACACATTCTCTCCTGGAGTATACTGGGCTCTGCCCTAAGATCCTGGGGCTGAAAGGCTCATCTCATCTCTGCTTCATTTGCTGGCTCCCTTCATGATCCCTGATGCATTTTCCCACTTGTATTCTCCCCTACCCCCTGTAACCAGGAGTCCTCTTTTCACTCTTGACAATATAGCTTGGAGTGGTTTGAAAGAGGACTCACTTCCCTTGGAGTCCAACACTTCATTACCCTCTGCTCTCTCTACCTTTCCCATCCTCAAGTTGTATGCCCCAGTCTGGTGAGTGGGCCTGGGACAGTGGGGGTAGTTGAGGTTCTTCCTTCAGCATGTGGATAGAAAGGCCTGATGGATCTAAGCAGGTGGGAGGGCTAAGGTGAGTTTAGGAGGGGCAGAGGAGGAGAGATATTAACAGCTGCTGAGGGTATGGTGCACTCTATCATGTAGAGAACATATTTCTCTACCATTTTCTTTTTGATGGTTTAAAAGAACAAAGACATTTACAAAGTCTACTTCACCTTAGTAACCGATTCTTTCAAAAGAATTCTTTTTTTTGTTTTGTTTTTTTGGGTCCGGTCATGGGGCGTGAACTCTGGGCCTGGGCACTATCCTTCAGCTCTTCAGCTCAAGGCTAGCACTCTACCACCTGAGCCACAGCGCCACTTCTGGCTTTTTTTCTTTTTGCTTATGTGGTGCTGAGGAATCGAACCCAGGGCCTCAGGCATGCAAGGCAAGCGTTCTACCACTGAGCCACCTTCCCAGCCCCTCAAAAGAATTCTTGTTTCCAGATTAAAGGCCTTCAAGTAAATTGTCTTTACAAAAGGCCCTGTGGAAACTACACACTTTAGGAGATTAGGAGATTTTTTTACCCTGTAAAGGTGGGGGAGGGGGAGAGGTCATTCCAAAGACTCTTAGAGCCTTCTAAGAAAGCTATCCAGCCCCAGTCCTGCAAAAGGAAATGCTTGAAGTTGAAGTAAATGTCCTGTCCCTGAAAGAAGATGGAGCTCTTCCTCCCCTGAGTAGACATGCCTCTGTGTTAGAGTCCTGTTTCCTGCTTAACTACTGCTGTGGGAAGAAGGGACATGGGACGACTTGATTCTCCAGACACCTGCCCTAATGATGTAGCTCTGAGCTCCTGCCTGGAAAGCCCTTCACTTTGCTATGGTCTATAGAAAGAGAGTGTGGTTTGAAGCAGCAAACTTAGCAAAAGCTCAATAGCCAGCTGCAGAAAGCACATATGGGAAGCAGCCCTCATAACACAGATGCTCAGTGGTTTCTGGTGTTGGATCTGCTACAAGGCCAGCTAGAATAGATTTTTTAATGAAGCCTAAGGATATAGCCTTATAAACTTACTGGGAATACTCAGAGAAACCTCAGCCAGTGGAAATTATGCCGTGAAACTATATTCCTCCCTTGGAAAGGATTTGAAACACACTGGCATCTAAAATAGCAAGTAAATCCTTCTAGAACAGCATTTACCAAAGCACTGTTCTACAGAACACTATTCTGGGAGAATGTTAATAGGTTCTGTTTTAAGTGTTGCTGTGGGGTGGGGGGGAAGAAGGAAGGGGGAGAGGAAGGGGAAGGAAGAAGTCTGTGGTCCAATAATTTTGTGGAAATACTTAAATAATGTTCCTCTTGGACAGTGACAATGTAAACAAACCATATAAAATGCCCCATAAAAAACTCATGTGAATTAATCCAAGTAATTTTGTTCAACCTAGTACATAGAAAACTCATTTGACCAGAGAACATTTTTCTATATGGAAAGCATTTTAGCATCTTGTAGACATAGTTTTGGGAATTTCTACTAAAGAATCAGTCAGATAACAATAAATCTGGGGAAAATAGTCACATGAAAAAAAATTAAGGGCTGGGAAGGTGGCTCAGTGGTAGAGCACTTGCCTTGCATGCTCGAGGCCCTGGGTTCGATTCCTTAGCACCATATAAGAAAAAAGCCAGAAGTGGCGCTGTGGCTCAAGTGGTAGAGCACTAGCCTTGAGCTGAAGAGCTGAGGGACAGCGCCCAGGCCCAGAGTTCAGGCCCCACGACCGGACCCAAAAATAAAAAAAATAAGAAAAAAAAATTAAAATCTACCCTGATGATGCTTTTCTTGTGTGTGTGTGCAAGTTGTGGGGCTCGAGCTCAGGGCCTGGTACAATTCTTGCTCACTAAATTAAGCCTCAGCTCCACTTCCAGCTTTTTTGGTATTTAGTTTTAGGTAAGAGTCTCATTGTCTCTCCTGCCCTGGCTGGTTTTGAATCATAATTCTCAGATCTCAGCCTCCTGAGTAGCTAGGATTATAGGCATGAGCCAGCCAAATAGCTATCAATGATACATTTTTTCAACATGAAAACCCAACTGGTAAATTAGATTGTTCTTCCCATCATGGGCAAGTTTCGGAAGTTGTCTCAATTCCCAGCTGAGTTCATCCAAGCCCTGGTTCTCCAGCAGGTTACCTCCTATGAAACTAGACCAAGGACAATGAGGCAGATTGAATTATCCTTTAATCTTCAGTACAATATTTGTATTCAAGGCCTTTCTTTTAGTACCTTGTTATATTTTAAAATGATGAGCTTTCATTTTATCATGGGATTTGTTACATTTTGAGAACATCATGAAATATTTTTTACATTTAAAAGGGCATAAAGAATAACAGAGAAAAATCATAGTTCCTAATGTCCGGGTGAAGAAAGAAAGATAGAGTTGCCAGCCTCTGTCTACCCTCGATAATCAACACTCCCTCCCTATGAAATAACCACCCTCCTGATTGTGGTATTCATTATTGCCATGCATTTATTCATACTTTACAACATATCCTTATGCCTTTCCACAACATATGCTGCTGCTTCATATGCTTTAAAAGTTTACATCAGTGGTGTATTATATATTTTTCTACAACTAGTTTTTTTCTATATAACATTATATTTATAAAAATGTAACCATATGGTAACATGGGACTCTGATTCACTCAGTTTTCACTGATTTACTTATGAACATACCACAATTCATTTACCCAATCTGGTACTGATGGACATTTAGAAGTAAAATAGAGAATACCAAACTGGGCACCGGTGACTCACATCTGTAATCCTAGTTACTCAGGAGGTTGAGATCTGAGGATCGTGATTTGAAGCAACCCAGGCAGAAAAGCCCATGAGACTCTTATCTCCAATTAACTACTAGGAAGCCAAAAGTGGTGTTGTGGCTCAAGTGGCAAAACACTAGTCCTGAGTAAAAAAGTTCATGGATAACATCCAGACCCTGAGTTCAAGCCCCAGGTCTAACACTAAAACTTAAAAATTAAATTGAGAGAGAGAAAGAGAGAGAGAGAGAGAGAGAGAGAGAGAGAGAGAGAGAGAGAGAGAGAGAGAGAAAGAAAGAAAGAATATCTCCTCAGTCTGTAAAATTAATGTTGGCTTGGTATCTGTCCAGGCTTTCTTTTTCTGCATCTATACACACAGATTTTTAAAAATATTCTTTCAATATAGGATTTCTACTAGAAATTGTATTCTAACATTTGTTCCGGGTTACCTAACATGTATGTATGTATGTATGTATATATATATATATATATACATATATATTTGACATTTGCTAAATCAGTGCATGTAGGCCGGCCACTTTCTTTTTAGCAGCTATATAACGTTCCACTGTATGAGTGCCTACAGTCCTAGATGATATTTTATTACTCACTAAATGCTAGAAACTAGGAATGCTTGCCACAAGACCATGGAGCATATCTTTTGATGTTGTTGTTATTGTTGTTGTTTTGATTGGTTGTGGGGCTTGAACTCTTGGCCTGGCACTGTTACTGAACTGTTCAGCTTGAGGCGAGCACTGTACCACTTGAGCAACAGCATCACTTCTGGTTTTCTGGTGGTTAATTGGAGATAAGAGTATCATAAACTTTCTTTCCCGGGGCTGGCTTTGAACTGTGATCTTCAGATCTCAGCCTCCTGAGTAGCTAGGATTACAGGTGTGAGCCACCAGTGCCCTGCTAAGCATGTCTTTTTGTTATCCTGTTTTATAGACATCAGAGCTGGTACACAGCAAGGCTAAAGAGCTTTCCTGATCTGTGCTATAAGTGGAAGAAGCAGATGCAAGCATGAGCATCCTGGCTCTGCATCTGTGCCCTTAATGACCATGTGACACTGCTTCTCAGATATGGTCCATTGACCAGTCCCCTCTTGGTGGACACTGGAGCTGCTCAAAGATTTGTGCTTTTGTAAACAATACTGCAGTGAGTATTCCTGTCACTTCTGGAAGTCTTTTTCTGTAGTGAAGGTTTCTAATATCCAGTTTTTAGGAGGAAAATGTTCATTCAAAATTAGTTATTGCATGGGCTGGGAATGTGACTTAGTGGTAGAGTGCTTGCCTTGTATGCATGAAGCCCTGGGTACTTCAGTACCACATACGCAGAAAAAGCTGAAATTGGTGCTGTGGCTCAGGTGGAAGAGTGCTAGCCTTGAGTAAAAGAAGCTCAGGGACAGTGTCCAGGCTGAGTTCAAGCTCCAGGACTGAC